TACAAAATATTGAGTATAGTTTCCTGTGCTATACAGTAGGTCCTTGTTGGTTATCTATTTTATATATAGTAGTGTGTATATTTTAGTCCCAAACTCCTAATTTATCCCTCCTTCCCCAAAATGCATAATTCATTGATCCCTCCCTCCCTCCTAGTTTGTGTAAGTAATATAATTATAATGTTTATGGTGGAAAACTTGGAAAATACATAAAAATATAAAACGGGCAAATTTAAAAATCACATATTCAATCTTTAGATCAGGGACTGGCAGGTTATGACCTTCTGGCCAGTCACCTGCTTTGGTGAAGTTTTTTGGAACACAGCTTGCCTGTTGGTTTAGGTATCTTCTATATCTATGGCTGCTTTAGAGCAACAACTGCAGAGTTATATGACTCCAAGCCTAAAATGTTTACTGTCTGGCTCTTTACAGAAAAAAATTTGCTGGCCCCGTATTCTAGGTAATCACTGTTAACATTTTTTAAAATAAATTTATTTATTTTTTATTTTTGGCTGCATTGGGCCTTTGTTGCTGCACGCAGGCTTTCTCTAGTTGCGCTGAGCGGGGGCTGCTCTTCGTTGTGGTGCACAGGCTTCTGATAGCAGTGGCTTCTCTTGTTGCTGAGCACGGGCTCTAGGCACGCGGGCTTCAGTAGTTGTGGCACGCGGGCTCCGTATTTGTGGCTCGTGGGCTCTAGAGCGCAGGCTCAGTAGTTGTGGCGCACGGGCTTAGTTGCTCCGTGGCATGTGGGATCCTCCCAGACCAGGGCTCGAACCCGTGTCTCCTGCGTTGGCAGGCGGATTCTTAACCACTGCGCCACCAGGGAAGCCCCCCACTATTAACATTTTGATGTATGTCTTTTCACATTTTTTATTTATTTATTTATTTATTTATTTTTGGCTGTGTTGGGTTTTCATTGCTGTGCATGGGCTTTCTCTAGTTACGGTGAGCGGGGGCTACTCTTCGTTGCAGTGCGCGGGCTTCTCATTAACGTGGCTTCTCTTGTTGCTGAGCACGGGCTCTAGCGCACAGGCTTCAGTAGTTGTGGCACATGGGCTCAGTAGTTGTGCCTCGCGGGCTCTAGAGTGCAGGCTCAGTAGTTGTGGCGCACGGGCTTAGTTGCTCCGCAGCATGTGGGATCTTCCCGGCCAGGGCTCTAACCCGTGTCCCCGGCATTGGCAGGCAGATTCTTAACCACTGTGCCACCAGGGAAGCCCTCACATCTTTCTGTGTACAGATATGCAGGTATATTTTTTTCTTTTCTTTTTTAAACAACAACAAAATAGTATCTTACAGCACTGCTGCTTTGTCGCCTGCTTTTTCCACTCAGGGCTTGGTTGGGAGCCTCTTTTGTGTTCCTGCTAATCTCTCTTCTGCATGAAGTTGCTCCCTGTGGCATCAGGGGAAGGTGCCAAGCCCACGCCTGCAGCTGGGCTTAGGGCTTGGTGGGCTGTGTGGCTGGGACAGTCATCCTTGAGCTGGGCCCCGAGGGAGGGGAGATTCCCAGAGACAGGAGGAGTCTGGGTGGGGCAGAAGAGGTAGGATGAGGCTGAGGAGGATGGGGAACTTGTGAGGGTCCAAGGCCAAATACACTTGGGAAACAGTGGGTTAAAGACTTCTCAGACCCTTTAGAATAGGAATTCCAAGGAGCATGGTTGCAGATAGTAAATTTTCAGGAGGAAGCAAAGACATGTAAAGTTTTCAGTTTCGTTTGACACCGAGCCCTTGTTCGGTGTGGGTCTCTGGGGACCACTCTTTAGGAACCAGCGCTCTGGGACTCCAAGGGGAACAG